TGCCTAATGCATGAAGATTAATGCTGCTGAAAGACAATCTACAAGCTGCTGAATGACGGAGGGTTCCTGCTGCTGAAGGACAATCTAAAAGCTGCTGAATGACTGAAGGTTACTGTTGTTGAAGAACAATCTACAAGTTGCTGAATGTCTGAGGGTTATTGTTGCTGAAGGACAGTCTACAAGTTGCAGAATGACTGAGGGTCCTGCTCCTGAAGGACAATCTGCAAATTGCTGAATGACTGAGGGTTACTGCTACTGAAGAACGTTATACAAGTTGCTGAAAGACTGAGGGTTACAGCTGCTGAAGGACAATCTACATACTGCGGAATGACAGAGGGTTACTGCTGCTAAAGGACAATCTACAAGTTTCTGAATGAATGAGGGGTAATGCTGCTGAAGAACGTTCTACAAGCTGATTAATGACAGAGTTACTGCTGAAGAACTTTCTACAAGCTGCTGAATGACCGAGGGTTACTGATGCAGAAGAACGTTCTACAAGTTGCTTAATGAATGAGGGTCACTGCTGCTGAAGGAAAATGTACAAGCTGCTGAATGACGGAGGGTTCCTGCTGCTAAAGGATAATCTACAAGTTGCTGAATGACTTAAGGTTACTGTTGCTGAAGAACGTTCTACAAGCTGATGAATGATTGAGGGTTACTGCTGCTGAAGGACAAACTACAAGTTGCTGAATGACTGAGGGTTACTGCTGCTGAAGGTCAATCTACAAGTTTCTTACTGACTGAGGGTTACTGCTGCTGAAGAACGTTCTACAAGCTGCTGAATTACTGAGGGTTACTGCTGAAAAAGAACGTTCTACAAGCTGATGAATGATTGAGGGTTACTGCTTCTGAAGGACAATCTACAAGATGCTGAATGAATGAGAGTTACTGCTGCAGAAGAATGTTCTACAAGATGCTGAATGACTGAGGGTTACTGCTGCTGAAGGACAATCTACAAGTCGTTGAATGACTGAGGGTTACTGCTGCTGAATAATGTTCTACAAGCTGCTGAATGACTGAGGGTAACAGCTCCTGTAGAACGTTCTACAAGCTGCTCAATGACTCAGGGTTGCAGCTGCTGATGGACAATCTACAAGCTGCTGCATGTCGGAGGGTTCCTGCTGCTGAAGGACAATCTACAAGTTGCTGAATGACTGAGGGTTACTGCTGCTGAAGGACCAT